TTTGAGAGTCTATTTCTGAACCCTCTGTTCAATCTAGTGACCTATCTATCTGTTCTATCACCAGTACCATGGTATCTTGATTATAATTAGTGTTTTTCTCTTTTTGAAGTTATACTTGCAGATTTTTCTTTTTATACTTTTAAGAACTAGTTTTGAATTTCTCTGCTAATCCTGGCTCCTCCTCCTCCTCTTCCTTTTCCTCCTCCTCCTCCTCCTCCTCCTCCTCCTCTTTCTTCTACTCCTCTGTCAATCTTCACCTGAGGATATTTTTTCCCCCATTGATTTTTAGAGAGAGTGGAAGGGATGCATGCGGGGGGGGGGGGGAGGGGGGGAGGGGCGGGGAGGAGAGGAAATGAGAGAGAGAAACATGGATGTGAGAGAGACACATTGATTGGTTGCTTCCCACATGTGCCCCAACCAGGCCGGGTATTTAACCTGTAACCCAGGTATGTGCCCTTGACCAGGAATCAAACCTATGACCCTTCAGTGTGCAGGCTGACGCTCTAACCCATGACCCACGTTGGCCAGGGCTGTTACTCGCTTTTTTGAACTTGTTTTCTTATTGTTTTTTTCTAGCTTCTTCCATTAAATTAGTTAATGTCATTATATTTTCTCTTCAAATATGTAGTTTAGTCTGCTAGGGCTACCATAAAAAAAAAACTTTAGGCTGTGTTGCTTAAACAGCGGAAATTTATTTTTTCATAGTTCTGGAGGCTAGATGTCCAAGGTTAAGGTGGTAGAAAATTTGTTTTTTTGGTGACCTCTTTTTTCCTGGCTTGCAGACAGCCACTGTCTCACTGTGTCTTTATATGACTTTGTGTGTGTGTGTATGCACAAGGGGTGGGGTAGGGTTAACTAGTTCTGGTGTCTTTTCCTCTTCTTATAATGACACCAGCTCTATCAGATTAGGATTCCACCTAATGACCTCATTTAATTTTAATTACCTCCCTTTAGGCCCTGACCTGAAGTACAGCCACAATGGGGGTTAGGGCTTCAACATGTCAAGTTTGGAGGATACAGTTCAGACCATAACAATATGATAAAAGCATCATTGCTAGGAATTTGTTTCTGAATATAGCTTTATCTCTATACTATATTCTTTGCTATGTGGTATCATTATTTTCCACAAGTTGTTACTGTATTCTTATTTCCTCACTGATCTAATAGTTAATTAGAAAATGATGGTGCTTTCCTTTGTTCTCCATAATTAAAAAAGATTTTTTTTCTTTTATCCTTACCCCAGAACATTTTTGCATCTATCTTCAGATAGAGCAGGAGGGAGAAAGGGAGGAAGAGTGAGAGAGAAACATCAATGTGAGAGAGACACATCGACTGGTTTCTACCCACAAGACCCCAGTCAGGGCTGGGGACAAACTGCAACCGAAGTATGTACCCTTAGCGGAAACCGAACCCGGGACTCTGTGGTCCTCAGGCTGACGCTGTAACTGCTGAGCCAAACTGGCTAGAGCAAAAATTTTTTTCTTTATTGGTTTTTAGAGAGAGAGGAAGGGAGAGGGATAGAAAGATAGAAACATCCATGAGAGAGAACACTGATTGGCCACCCCTTGCATGCCCCCCACTGGGGATCGGGCCCACAACCTGGACATGTGCCCTGGCCAGGAATTGAACTGGTGACCTCTTGGAGCATGGGTTGATGTCAGCTCAACCACTGAGCCCCACCGGCTGGGTCCAGAATTTTTCATAAACCCTAAATTTTAAAAGCTAATATAGAAATTTATAGTCTAATAGAGTGGTTTTCAATTAAATGGGTCATTTGGATATGTGTATTTTTTGGTTGGCATAATGGTGTGTGTTGTGGCAAGGGTTAATTCTAGTTCATAGGGGCAACTGAGGACTTCTGAATCTCCCCCATGCCACAGGCCAGCCATGGGGAATTGTGGGGTTTGTCCATCTCCTCCATCTTCCTCTCTATACAAGGATAGGCACACCCACACAAATCAGGAAATTAACATTGATATAATACTCTTATCCTGTCTGTAGGTTTTATTCAATTGTCCTGCTAATGTCCTTCATAGCAAAAGCAAATCCCAGATCATGTATTGCATTTAGTTGTCACATCTCTTTAGTTACTCCTTGCATTTTATGACAGTGGCATTTTTGAAAACTATAGACCTGCTATTTTGCAGACTGCTCCTCAGTTTGGGCTTGTTTTTGTTTCTACACTATTTGGTTCAGGTTATGCATTTTTGGCAGGAATCTCACAAAAGGGATACTGTGTCCTCAATGGATCCTATCATGAAGCACGTGATATTGATTGTCCCGTTTTGGTGATGTTAATTTTGATCACTTAATTAATTGTCTACCAGACTTCTCCATTGTAAAGTTTCTATGTTTTCTTTTGTTTTGAGTAAGTTATCATGTGAGGAGATACTCTGAGGCTATTATCCTGTTATTCCACCCACTGGTTTTATCATCCATTGATGATTTTTACCTGAATCAGTTATTATTATGATGGTTACCAAATGGTTATTTTGTAAATCCATCATTTTTTCCACATTACTTTTTTTTTTCTTTCTTTTTTACTAGAATAACTTTCTAAAGGGGGACTTTTGGAATTCAGAAAATGCCCCCCCGCTTTCCTTCTCAAGGAGTTAAACAACTGTGTCAAATGATTGACTTTCAGAATTGTTGATGTTTGCATCCTAAGCTGAGCTCTGAGGCCTTTGTTCCAGGCTGTATCCACCTTCCATCTGAGGCAGGAATGCCACCAAGACTATGAGTGAAGAGCCACAGAGTCACAAGAATACTTTCAGCCTAGGAAAAGCTCCTAGGTTCAAAATCCTCAAATATAATTTTGCTATAATAGTTTTTATTATTGCAAATTTTTATATTTTGTGGTTTTATAGGTGCTTCACTGTATAATTGAGTGAAACTGCTATTAAAAATGAATTATGGGCTAAAAATTAAATATATTACCCCTTGAAGTATATGAAGTAACTTAAACCTGTAATATAATGTTGCCAAATTGTTGACTTGCTGAGTATGCGTTAATGAATATTTAAGACCCTTAATAATATTGTTTGCAAAAAATTCAAAGTTTGACAAAATTGAAACAGACTTATAGATACAAAGAACAAACTGATGGAGGCCAAAGGGGAGGGATATTGAGGTGGGGTGGGGTAAAATAGGTGATGAGATTAAGAAGTACTAATTGATAGTTACAAAATAGGCATGGGGTTATAAGGTAAAGCATAAGGAATATAGTTAACAATGTTGTAGTAACTATGGTGCCAGGTAGGCACTTGAATTATCGGAGGGCACTTGTAACCTATATGAATATCTATCTGCTGTGCTGCACACCTGAAGCTAATACAAAATAATGTTGAACGCAGCCCTGGCCAGTGTGGTGCATTTGGTTGGGTGTTGTCCCCTGCACCAAAAGTTTACAGATTCCATCCCCAGTCAGGGCACACGACCCAGTTTTGGGCTAGAGGCAGCCAATCGATGTTCTGTTCTCACATCCATGTGATGTTTTCTCTCTCCCTCTTCCTTCCTCTCTCTAAAAAACAGTTTAAAATAATCTTTTAAAAAAGTATTAAATGTAATAGAAAAATGAAATAAAAATTATATACAAAAAATTAAAGTTTGGAAAGAACTTTAATTTTTTTTGTATTTGAATAGCTTACCCTCCCCCGCCCCAGCCTAGATTAACTCATCAAAGACTGTACAGGATTAAAGTTGTAATACAATTCCAATGATGCAATATTATTATGAACTGCAAATTAGGGAATTGAAATTGCTGAATTTGTTTTTATTATTCAAAGTTGTATGTTTTGAATTTGGTGATGTTTGTGTGTGGGGTGAATGGACATCTGCCCGCTCTTTTCCCTGCATCATCTCAGAGGGGTGCTTGAACCAGGTTTGCTTCAGAGGTAAGGGGTGGATCCCATAATATCTTCAAGACTCATGTCTTCTGAAGCAAAAACATTTCTGTGCCACATCCTGGCAGATTCTCTCATGTTAAGGCATAGAGAGAAACTTAAAAAGAGGCTACTTATTTATGTTAGCAGTTTCTTGCAAATAGACAGTGCCTAAATTAGCTAAGAGGAGAATATAAATTACATTAAAACAAAAAGAGTTGAATAAACAATGTCCTAATTTCTTTGTGGGTATTAACCCAAGAAAGTAATTCACACACTCTTTGAATGTAATAAAAACCACTGAATTTCATATTTTAAAATAATTAATTTTGCCCTGGCTAGTTTGGCTCAGCGGTTAGAGCGTCCGCCTGCGGTCCAGAGAGACCCGGGTTCGGTTCCCGCTAAGGGCATGTACCTTGGTTGCAGTTTGTCCCTGGCCCTGGTTGGTCGTGCGGGTGGCAGCCGCTCGATGTGTCCCTTTCACATTGATGTTTTCCTCTCTCTCTCTCTCTTCCTCTCTCTCCCTCCCACTCTATCTGTACAAAAAATGGAAAAATGTCCTCGGGTGAGGATAAAAAAAAAAAAAAAAAGAATTAATTTTATGATATGTGAATGACATATTAATAATGTTATTATATGAAAAAATCACAAAAGAATGAAGCTAAGAGTCTCCAGGTTTTTTTTCTTTCAAACGCAATCTTTTATCTTAGTAACTGACCATATAATTGAAATCTTCACCTTGGCAATCTAAAATAAAAAGGAAAAACACAGTTATTCAGTTGCATAAACTCTGTATTATGAATGTTGGAATTTGGCTGCATTTTCTCCGGAGAGTTACTGTGATATTTTAGCATACCCTTGCACATCCTCTGTGCACAGACGTTCTGGGTAAATGCTGTTTGACTATCTTGATTTCTGCTGTTCGTTTCAATGGCTCATGTGTACAAAGGTGATTATCATTTCTACCTGGAAGTGACATTGTCTTAAGAAATGTGTGTGTAGAGGGGATAGAGGACTAGTAGAGAATATTAGATCTTGTCTTTTTCTTTAAACTGTTCATGTACAAGGTTCCTTATTTATTTTGTGTGTATTAAACAACTGATTCTTAAAAATCAATAGATCCTTCTCGCTATGAGCATGAAGACACCTTTTTCTCAGTGTTTCATACTCAGGTCCCTCCAGAAGACTATGAAAACCATATACAGAATGATAATCAAGGTATGTTTGAGTTTGTATGATTTTTAATTACATGTGGTCACAAGAAAATACTAGCTAGATAAACAAATATTCACAGATGAAATGATTTGATGTGATTTAATCAAGAGGTGGGGGGAAGTAGGTGATGTTCTAGATGAAACAAGATTGGTCATTGTTAATCACTGTTGAAATTATTTGTTGAGGATTCAATATACCATTCTTTCTACTTTGGGATGTTTGAACTTTTATATAAAAAGAGTTTAAGGAAAGCTGGCTGAGAGTAATGAAAATCTAGCTTAAGCAAAAAAGAAAGTGTGTGAAAAGAATCCAGGTGGTAGACAGCCTCTTTTATTCCCAAGAGCATGTTTTGTGGGTAGTCATTGAGAAGGAGACTTTATTCCAAAATATTAGAGACCAACTGATCCAGCTTAGGTTTGGTGTCTACTCTGGTCCAACCAAGTCCTCCAACCCAGCATGGGTTGGGTCTCTGCAGGAACTTGGTAGCTTCTACCATGGATCACCACGAGGATGGAGAGAAGAAGAGGACCTTTCTAGTGAGACAATTCTGACCAGACAATCCAATGTTTTCTCCTACAATTTATTAAAAGTACATTTTATAGACATGGATGCATTTAATTTAAATAATTTTAATGTATTATTTAAAAGTACATGAAACTTTAACTGAATGAATAAACCTTATATTTTAACTTAAAGACTATTTACAACTTGGATTATGGAAAAAAGTTTTATATTTTATATCTAAGGAGGCCACTCACCAAAAAAGTAACTCCTACTTTAACTATTGGTAGTTGATTAAAAAATTGTTATTGACTAGAAAACAAAACCCTAATTATAAAGCACAGATTTGTTTGTCTAGAAACTTATAATGTAAGTTTGAATACTGTAAACTTTTTTTTTACTCAAATTTATTTTTGTTCCAAAAAAATTTAAATCCAGAGATCTTACTCTTTTCCTGGTTCTTTCCAGCTATTGTTATCAACATTTACTGTTTAATTATTAACTTTGTATTGAATCTTGGATAATTAGTTACAAATACCCTTAATCCTTTCTCTTGAGGTAACTTCTCTTATAAAAGAAAGATAACTTTTTTTTTTTATCCTCACCCGAGGACTTTTTTCCATTTTTTGTTCAGATAGAGTAGGAGGGAGAAAGAGAGAGAGAGAGAGAGAGAAACATCAACGTGAAAGGGACACATTGAGTGGCTGCCTCCCACACAACCCAACCAGGGCCAGGGACAAACTGCAACCAAGGCACATGCTCTTAGCTGGAACCGAACCCGGGGTTCTCTGGACCGCAGGCTAATGCTCTAACCGCTGAGGCAAACTGGCCAGGGTGTAAACAAAAATAACTTTTAGGTAAACCTTGTCTGGATTGAGCTGTTGGCTGCTGTTCTTCCCTTTTGGACTTCATTGTGGCAATTTATCCTATTTGTAGGGTGGACTCCATTTGTCATTTAAGAAGAGTCTCCTTTATGCAAAATTTTAAAGCATTAGTGAGGGGTTCACATGATCTTGTTTTAAATGCTGTAAACATGACTTCAGAGAAAACAAGATGTTTAATGAAGGGAATTAGAGTGTACGGGTATTTTTCTTGCCCTGTTTTGAGCACTCAGGGTCTGAACAACTCTGAGGTTGACGTAAGCCTCCATTCAAAGGTTGAGAAAACTGACAAACTAGAATGGGCTCTAGGGGTTTGTCCCTGTGGAACATCCAGGGTGCTATGCTCAGACCTTGCTTAAGATAGTTTTGAACAAAAAGTTTATTGTTCAGAGAGGGTGATGGCAAGTTAGTAAAGAATCTAGTCTTTTTTTGAAATCCTCACCTGAGGATATTTTTCCTTTCATCTTCAGATAGATTGGGATGGGGTGGGGGTGGTGGGGGGGAGAGAAAGAGAAAGAGAAACATTGCTGTGAGTGAGAGGGGCACATCAACTAATTGCCTCTCGCACGACCCTGACCAGGGCCAGAAACTGAACTGCAACTGAGGTACGTGCCCTTGACTGGAATGGAACCCATGACTCTTTGGTCCATGGGCTGACACTCTAACTGCTGAGCCAAACCAGCCAGGGCAAGATCCAGTCTTTAGGGAAAGTTCTGTTTCATATAAAGACTAAAATAAAATATATTTTAAAATTCCCGTAACATCAGAGATTTCTCCTTCACATGTATCATGCAGTTCTTTTCATATTCCTCATGATTCTAAGGGAATCAACAGCAAGAAGTGTGATGCATGATAATAACAGAAATTTTATGAGAATTTCATTGCAAACTATGCAGTACATTTATCTTTTTACGAATAAGTCTCCAACCCTGGCCAGTTTGGCTCAGCAGTTAGAGCATCAGCCTGCAGACATAGGGTCTCAGGTTCAATTCTGGTTAAGGGCACATACCTTGGTTGTGGTTCTACCCCTGCCCTGGGCGGGGTCGTGTGGGAGGCAACCGATTGGTGTGTCTCTCTCACATTAATGTTTCTCTCTCTCTCTCTCCCTGTCCCCCATCTCAAGTGAGGATTAAAAAAAATAATAATAAGTTTCTACATATTAGGTTTCTAGATCTTGAATTTAGAAATTCAATGTTTGTTTTACTTCTTATATATTTTAATATATGCTTAAGGTAAACTTTTAGCATAATGGACAATTATAATTATGAAAAAGTTTTGAACTTTTTTAATATTAGATTTTACCTGTGATGTAGAAAGAAGTAAGTCATTGATCAAAGCAGAAAAGAGACTCTTCTCACATGCAGAAAAGACTGAACTCAGGGGTAAACACAGCCAGGATTTTATTAAGCGAAACATTGAGGTATGTATTTAGAAATTTAGAAGAAAAAATGTGGACTAAATGAGTTGTGATAATGGAAATAATTGTGTTTAGTGTCTTTAAATACTTTTTTTTGACCGTGATACATGTATATGTAATTTAAAGAGCATATATGCTTGAAAGAGAAGTTTTATGAACCAGTACTTTATTATTTCCTATTCAATTTTATCTTATCCTATCCTATCTCCTTTAAAACTGCTAGCTGCAACTCAATACATTCATTTCATTACTTAGAAATGAATCTTGTTCCTGCAATTTGAAAACCATTTATTTAGGTAAGAGCTTTGGAACGTGTTTCCCAGATTTTGAATTGCATATTAGTAAAATTGTTTGTTTTTTTTTAAATCCTCACCCGAGGACATTTTTCCATTTTTTGTTCCGGTAGAGTGGGAGGGAGAGAGAGGAAGAGAGAGAGAGAGAAACATCGATGTGAAGGGACACATCGAGTGGCTGCCACCTGCACGACCAACCAGGGCCGGGGACAAACTGCAACCGAGGTACGTGCCCTTAGCGGGAACCGAACCCGGGTCTCGCTGGACCGCAGGCTGACACTCTAACCGCTGAGCCAAACCAGCCAGGGCAGTAAAATTGTTTTTTAAAGTAATGAGACTGATTTTATAGCTGGTACAATTAGACATTTGAATGAAAATGCTCCTGGCAGAACTGGAGAGGCCAACAGGTTGCTCCTCCCATCCCTACCGGGCCCCACCCACTGAGCCTAGGCAGCCCTTCGCTTGTCACTTGCCTTGGTTAGCTCCCTGCTTCAGAGGCCTGACCTTGGTCCTACAGGTCTGCGGCTTGACTTGGTTTGTTCTCAAAGCAGACTCACATTAACCAAAGGCACAGAGGCTCCAGTATTAGACCAGTATGCTAAGTAATTAATTCACAGCAAGAAATGTAAGTACGGTGGACAGAGGCTCATGGCAAACCTCAGAGGCAGTTAAGTCTCTAGAAAACTGCATTGATGAGTGTGAAGTACTAACAAGAGCAGAGAGTTAAATAATTTTTCATAGTTGAAGTCTGATCCTTTTCCCACAATTGGCATGTCATTTCAATGCAGCAGTCTGACCTCGTATTCATGGGCCAACCTGCCCCTGCCAAAACTAGACTCTGGGACTAGTCTAGGACTCACGAGTTTTCTTTGCTCCCATTTTTATGACCTTTTCCAGCTTGATCTGTCTCTTTGTGCTGACCCATTGTATGCTGATTATTGTTTAATTTTCCAAGAGCAGTTAGTTGTGTTTTCTCGATATCCAAGTTCTTGCTGACACAGCAGCTCCACCATAGATTTCCCTTTTAACAATAGTATCTGAATCTTTATTTAAACACTGAAAGGATTTTCTTGAAATTTAAAAGCAGTATCATTTACTGGATATATGCCACATAGGAAATAGCAAAAAGATTCTTTCCAAATGCTACAGCAAATATGTTTTGTATTGATATTATATAAAGAGAGGTTTGAAAATTGATTGTGTTTTGTTTTATTTTTAAAATAAAATGTTGATTAAGATGGTTAACATGAAGGTCTGCTTACAGTGGAAATACCTTTGCTTACAGAATGGACCTATACCAAAAATTTGACATAAAATAAAATTACCTGGCAAATGAAAAATGCCTAATCTCACAAATTTTACCTTTGTGTATCTGTACTGTAGAAACCTCAGGTTTCACTTTTATTTTCCTGAACTATGCATTGCTTTGAGTTTTTAATATTTCTCATTAATACATTCTGTAGTTGGCCAAGAATTCAGGAAAACCAGTGGTTATGATTGACACAGAGAAGAAAAGGCTGATTGAACTTTTGAAGGACTTAGATGACAGAGATTCAGGACTGTCCAGTTCTGAGGTATGTTAACACTGATATTCTGACTGCTACACTTCTTAATATTTTTGTTTTATTATGTTATTGATCTATTAGTATGACTTCACAATATTTTTAAAATTGAGATAATATTCTCTGACTTAAAAAATTCCTGTTTTACAAATTTATTTTTATTGAATTTTCAAATGTGTCCTTGTCAATTCATTATTGACTTTCAAAGGATTATTTTATGTCAGTATAAGAGTTACTACACATTGGTTATCATAATAAAAGCCTTTGCCTGTGACGTAATGGGCTTAGTACTGATGATATATAATGTGTGTCTCTGTATTCTTTTATTTTGGGCATTTCCTATTATCTCTAAACTAGTTTCATTAGCCACAGGGCTAATGTAGTGTAGTCTTCAGTAATCCTAAAGAACATGTCCTGCTCCTGTCCAGTTAACTTTGTGCATTCAGTTACCTGACAGTCTGGGGGGAGCACAGGCTGAGTCTAAGGAGAACAGCATGTAACCCAGGGAGCAAATGCCAGTGTTTATAGGGCCCTGGCAGGTCACATAAGGAGTTCAGTGGCTCAGCATTTACACTCGTTTGCATACTAAACTTAAAGTAATATTCTTTACTTCTACAAAGAAATATGTTCTTCCGTGTCCCCGGAAGCTCTTAGCCCTGCCATCTCGTCTTTATTCCTCTACGTTTAATAGAGACATGAGGCGGTGAATGCTGCTGGCACCCCGCCCAGATCCCTTTTACCTGTCTGTGCACCTCCCCTGTCCTGTTCCAGGACGCACAGCTGCCTCCTTCCCTGGAGAATTGTCCTGGGCTGAGTGGGAGGAAAGTAGCCCTTCCCTAACCCTTCCCTCTCACTCACGGTGAGATTAGCCCTGTGGGGTCAGCTGGCCTTTAGCTGAGACCACATCCTTGCTTGGCTTTGTTTCCTTGGCCTAGCTGGCTTCTCTAGCTCCTTCCGCCACCCATCATAAGTCACTTGAACCAGAATCCCTGTCTCAGGTTCTGTATCTGAACCCAGCCGAAGACATGCAGGTTCAGAGGGTAACTGTGCTCCAGGTACGAGAGCAGTGCATGCACAGCAATACCTGTGGCCTGTCGGGGAGGGCCTGCAGTCCACGGGAGCCAACACTCAGCATCAACTGGCCGCTGCTGTGTGCAGGCCCAGCCAGGGCTGCCTGGGTCCTCCAGTCTGTCAAGGGAAGCTAGAAATTCAGACTTTTTAAATGGGAAGCAATCCTCTTTTTAAAATGTTGACAACTAATTCCAATTTAAAAAATTCCACGTGGGCAAACACAATCTACCCCAAACCAAAAGCAAATCTATGGAACATCTCAGACTCCAAGCTCTAAATTATCTTTTCCAAAATGGTGAAGGCTCAGCAGGGGCTGTGTCTAGGAATGGAGCAAGGTGTTGCTACTTTTGGGCCTGGTGAGATTGCCGAGGGAGGTCCCCTGCCAATCTGGAGGACAGCCCCGCCTCTTAGCATCCAGCGTGTTCGTGAAGCCGGGCCTGGAAAGAGTGAGACAGATTGCTAATTGCCCAGATAATCCTGAGATTTCTTAGCTTTAGGATCCTTGGGGTGATTTGTTTACCTTATTAATGAAAGCTAAGGTAACAGTAAGAATTAAGGGACCTGGGTCTCATTCCTGGTTTTGTTATTAATTATGAAGTTGGGCAAGTTGCTGCCCACTGGTCCTCTGGGGACCAAACTAAGGCATGACAGATTTTCCTTATACATGCTAGGAATGCTTTAACCATGCATTTCTGGTATCAATACTACCTTTTGCATGTTATTTTTGTTAATACTTAATGTCTTATTCCCTACTTTAAACCCTTCTCTATCATTTAGTTTTAGGTAGATCTTTGTACAAATACAATATAGCTAGATTTTTGTTGTTGCTGTTGTGCCTTTATCATTAATTGTTTCTTATCTTTTGTTATTTCTTTATTCTGCATCTTTTAATGTGGATATTTAATTTATTCATATTTTTATGATCACTGATAATTTTTGAGAGAGTCTAGCACACCATAGAACCTTCCCTTGACTACTGATAATTTTTAGACCTTTTCTTGACATCCTATTTTATATTTCATTTATTATATATATTTTTTTGTTTTCTTAACTTTACCTTTTGATCCTCTGAAAATTTGGTATCTTATTTCTGATAGAGTGCTGTTAACTCTCAAGTTCTTATAATACATTGAAATGTATATTTTCTTTTCAACTTAAATAATTGATTAGTCTCTAAAATCTTACATCTTAATAAGACAGGATCTTTGGTATGCTTTTACTTTCTTTTCTCCCACTACTTCTCCTCCAGAATGTATTGAAATCACCTGCAATTTTAGTTCCAAAATACTACGCTTTAACCTTTAAAAATAGTATGCTTGTATTTTAGGAGTATTTCTCAACGGTAACCAAATTTTTTAGCCACAGCATTAACTGTGTATTTAGGCTCAACTCATTATTTATTTGTACAAATAACTAAAAAAAAATTCTTATTGATTTTAGAGAGAGAAAGGTAGGGGGAGAGAGAGAGCTAGAAACATCAATGAGAAAGAACATTGACTGGCCACCTCCTGCATGCCCCCCACTGGGGATTGGGCCCACAACCTGGGCATGTGTCCTGACTAGGAATTGAACTGGCGACCTCTTGGTGCATGGGTCGACACTAAACCACTGAGCCACACTGGCCACGCTAATTTTTTTTTAATTGAATTTATTATGATGAATAATGCTTAACAAAATTATATAGGTTTCAGGTGCACAATTCCACAACACATCATCTGTACACTGTATTGTGTGTTCATCACCCCAAGTCAAGCCTCCTTCCATCACCATTTATCCCCCCATACCCTCCTCTACCTCCCTTCACCCTCTCCCTCAGGAAATCACTGCACTGTTGTCTGTGTCCATGAGTTTTCTCTCTCTTTTAAATTTTTTTATTATTATTTAAAAAAAAAATTTTTTAATTCTCACTTGAGGAAATTTTTCAATATTTTGTTCAGATAGAGTGGGAAGGAGGGAGGGAGAGAGAGAGAGAGAGAGAGACATCAATGTGAAAGGGACACATTGAGTGGTTGCCACCCGCATGACCCAACCAGGGCCGCGGACAAACTGCAACCAAGGTATGTGCCCTTAGCGGGAACCGAACCTGGGTCTCTCTGGACTGCAGGTTGATGCTCTAACCGCTGAGCCAAACCTGCCAGGGCTCAATCACACCACTACCCCAAACAAGCCCCCACAACCTTCCCCCTGACAGCTGTCAGTCTGCTCTCTATGAGTCTGTCTCTATTTTGCTTGTTAGTTCATTACAGTTTTTCTTGAATTATTATTATGAATATAATTCATATTCATAATTATTATTATGAATATTTTCCCTAAAAATGATGGTGTATAGATAATTTTTGGGTGTGTGCATATCTAAAAATTAATTTTTCCCCTCATTTGAATGATAGCTTCAAATGGGAACTTCAGATGGTGGTAAGTGATGGTGGTAGATGCAAAATCCTTTTATTATGGAAGCATGTGGGATTCTCTCTTCTTTTGAGTTCACAGATTTTATCAGACTATACTTACATGTATCTTTAAAAACATTTTTGTTCCTGCATGGTACCTTGTAGGCCCTTTTTATCTGAAGGTTCAAGTCTTTCTTCAGTTTGGAAAATTATCTTCTATTATTTCTTTCCTTGCATCACCTCTTTTCTTTTGTTTTTGACTATAAAGTGGGATAACAGCTGGGAATGTGATTGGCTGTAAGTAACAGAAAACGTTATAAGCAGTGGCTTAAACAAGAACGGAGTTTATTTTTCTTCAGTTACAAGAAATCCAGGTGTAAGCAGCTAGTGTCTTTCTAGCTCCTGGCTCCACTTTCTTAGTGTGGTTTTGCTTTTAGTTTTATACGATTGCTGCTATATCTGCAGGTAGAAAGAAAGAGGGAAGGTTAAGGGGCAAAGAGACACTCTTCTGAGGCTTTGCCTTTTCATTTGGGAAGGAATGGTGTCCCCAGGACTCCACCTGTGCGTCATTGGCCAAGCTGTGTCACAGAGCTGTTCCTTTCCCTGTCTCTGCGAGTGACCCTGGGGATCCAGTTATTTCATGCTCTCATTTTTGTTGCAGAGGAAGGCAAGGAAGGTGAAAACTGGAAAAGAGGATTAGTACAAGTGTTTGTCCCAGATGGGCACAGGATCTCTGGCTCTCTCCTCCAGGTCTTACAACTCTCTTTTCATAATCTTCATCTTTTGTGTCATTTTGTGAATTTTACAGTTTTTCATGTTGGGTTTCAATCATGTCTATTGTATTCTTTAGTTATCTAGCCCTCTTTTAAAATAGTTGTTGTTTTACAGTTATTGTTTTTTTTTTTTCCTTTATTGATTTCAGAGAGAGAGGAAATGAGAGGGAGAGAGAGATAGAAACATCGATGAGAGAGAACATCGATTGACCGCCTCCTGCATTCCCCCACTGGGGATTGGGCCCACAACCTGGGCATGTGCCCTGACTGGGAATCGAACGGGTGAGCTCTTAGTGCATGGGTCCACGCTCAACCACTGAGCCACACCAACCGGACCAGTTATTGTTGTTTTTACAACTAATTATTTTCTGAGAGTTTTTTCTTCAAGTCCTCTGAGGAGAAAGAGGGTTCTGTTTTATTCTCTGGCATGGGAGGTAGACATTTTATACAGAAGTTTGGTAAAGCCAGGTAGATGGTGTCACACGTTGAAATAGAGATTCCGAGGAGGAAGATCTGAAGTGCGTCAGGAAGAACTTAGGAACCCTTTGACCTATCTGTTCTCTAAGTGTGCCAAACTTCTTGCCATTCTTCAAATTTGCTGTATTCTCTCAAACTTCTATGTGCCCTTTTCTTTATGGAGTGCCCCACCACTTAATCTGTGATAAATACCGATGAGACTTAAAGGTGATGACTAAAATGATAACTTTGTTTTAATTCCCCAGAACTCTTGTCTTCTGGTTGTTCTTTGCAGTGGCGTGTTTAATTGTGTGAATATAATATTCTCTTGAATCTCTCTAGGATACTTGGAATTTTTTTTTTTTTTTTTATCACCCGAGGACATTTTTGCATTTATCTTCAGGCAAAGGGGATGAGGGGGGTGGCGGGGAGAGGGAGGAAGAGAGAGAGAAACATTGATGTGAGAGAGACATCGAGTGGCTGCCACCCACAACTGGGGCTGGGGACAAACTGCAACTGAGGTACATGCCCTTAGTGGGAACTGAACCCAGGACTCTCTGGTCTGCAGGCCGACGCTCTAACTGCTGAGCCAAACAGGCCAGGGCACTTAGAATTTTTAAGAGATTTCCTCCTGTGTTGGGAATTCACACTTACAACTAATGGCTCTCCCCAAAGCCAGATGCCTCTATTGTCACCTCCCAACAAAATTGGCTTGCACTAGATCTCAAATTACATCTAAATCAGTAAGGAGTGGGTGAGTGTGGTTGTGGACCCTTGGTTACTGGCCTGGGCCCTCGCTGTAAAGGAGAACAGTGAGGAGCATTTTCTGGGTTCTGTCTTAGGGGACCGGCTCCTAACAGCTAGAACCTTCCCAGACATGGCAAAGTTATCTAGAAGGTGCTAGAAAGACAGAACAACATGCTAACATCTACTACAAGTTACATATAATTTCCTTCTGTACCTGCATATTGAATGATGCATATACATTTCTGTTGAATTTAATCTGACATGTTCTTTTACCTCCAGTATCATTAAAAAGGAATTCCATTCAGATAAGAATTTAAAATTTATTAACCAGTATTTAGTCATTGTGATTTCATAATTTTACTTTTTTTGTGATTCGTTATTCTCATTTAAGTCATATAGTATTTATATCACTTTTATTTAGGAAAAATTAACTAGAGCTTCTTATTTGTGAATAACTAGGTAATTTTATTTTTAAAATAGCTATGTATGATTTTCATATGCCAGCTTTCAAGTAGATATAGTACAATTTATTTACTCTTTTCTTATTTTTAGACATTGACGCTTTTTGCCTATATTCTTTATTATAAATAACTTGGCAAAAAATATATTAGTCAGTGTCATGGGTTACAAGAAACAGAGGTGGACTTTGATTAAAAAACAAAACAAATTGAATTTATTGGGAGACTTGAGTAGTCCACAGACTCAATGCGAAGTTGGGGAACCAGGCTTGTAAACCATGCTGCTATCAAAGGAGCAGAAACAAGGCCATGGAAACTCCCCAGAAGCAGCTTAGGAGGCTCCTGCTAGATGACCGCTGCCCCCTTCACTGCCACCAGCACACCCAGACTCACTGCTGCCGCCGTCACCGTTCATCACTTCCCCACTTTCCCTGCACCTTGTGTCTCCTTTTCTCCCTCAAGAGTTGGGGTCCAGGGTGTTTGCTTCTGATTGCCTGAATCCAGGTTATTTGCTTGTCTTCCTGATGCCAGTGGGTAGAGAAGGAGTGTCTGGTGAGGACCTGTGTCCTACCAAGACCCATGAAATGTTTGTTTTCATTGAGGCGTGAAGGGAGATTAGATGCTAGGGTCAGGGGGAGACACATATAAATCTTTCTGCGTCATTTTTTTGCATGTATTTCTTCTGGTTACCATCTAGGGATTGATTCCTGGTATAAGAGTCACAAAACCAAAGTGTATGAAATTCTTAAGGTCCTTGACCTCCACCTGCCTCTTTATTCTAAAAGTGTTCTTCATGATTTTTCTGTCCTCGTACTACATGCTTCCCTGTGTGATCTCACCCACTCCCATGGTCCAGGGGTTCAAACCACTATAGATATATGGGTGAGGCAAAATACTCACTTCCAACCCAGGTCTCTCTCTTGAACTTTAGACATATATTTAACTACCTAACATATTTGTGGATATCCTAGGGGACATCTGTGGAAATATCAAAAGGTCCCAAAGAGAATTAATCATTTTCCTTTTCAAACCTACTACATCTGTATTCCCTAGTTTGCTCAGTATGATCACCATCGTCCTAGTTGACAAAATCAGGCATTTAGTTTTTATCCTTGATCCTTCTTCCTCCCTTTACTCTTCCATCTAGATTCTGTAAATTATTTCCATCTAGATTCTGTAAATTCTACTTCCTAAGTGTCTCTGGAATCTGTCTTACGTTCTTTTTTATTTTTTTTATCCTCATTGGAGGACATTTTTGCATTTATCTTGAGATAGAGCAGGAGGGAGAGAGAGAGGAAGAGAGAGAGAGAGAAACATCAATGCAAAAGACAAACATAGAGTGGCTGCCACCCACATGGCCCCGGGACAAATTGCAACTAAGGTACGTGCCCTAAGTTGGAACTGAACCTGGGACTCTCTGGCTCTAACCGTTGAGCCAAACCAGCCAGGGCAGGAATCTGTCTTATGTTCTGCACTCCCAGGATACAGTCCTTCATTCAGGTACTCATCACTTGTGTTCTAGATTATGGTGTTTGCTTCTTAACTGGGCTTTCTGCTTCCAGTCTTGCCCTCATCAGCTCCAGTTTTAAAGTGCATGTTGTTTCTTTTATTAAGATGTGATTAAGCTGGATTATTTCAGCCAGGAAGCCTTCTCCCACCACTTTGTCCCTTCTTGTCCAACTAACAGAGGGTAGTTGACCCTCCCTGGTTCCCATGGTGCCCTAGGTTTACTGGCGAGCTTTGCAACTTGTTAAAACCTTTGCTGCCAAGAGGCTGAGAACTCCTTGAGGACAGGAACTTGTGATATTCATACTGAATCACCAGTGTAATGCCTACACGGAGTTGGCATTCAGTATGAGATTTCTGAATGAATGTTATGAATGGATCTTAACCTATTATGAAACTATAATGTTAGTTGAATGAGTTAGATGACCAATTAAGCTCATAAAATCCAAACAATTGAGTTTATAGAGCCTACATTACGTTTCAGGTGACAAATTATGAAAAGACCATGTCTGTTATAGGATAAACACAATTTATCCCTGTTCAAAATATCACAGCCACTTTTTCAAAGTGGAGAAATGAGAATGCAATGAGAACCAGACTGTGAGGCTGAGAGATTTATTCCACAGGTCAAAAAACCCGTAAAGTATAATTTATGAAGATACTTTACACAGAGTTGGCATATAATGAAGCCATAAACTATTTAATTTTTTTCTTTCACTATGCCAGTGTCAATTCTGTGCTTTTGTTATAGTTTTCTTAAAAAATTTTTTTTGTGTGTGTATGATGTATGTGAAGTCCTGAGCATCAAAATAGCAGTCTGAAAGGTATATTCTGTTTTGGAAAAAATGTAGCCCAGGAATGATCTGGTGACTGTGGTTTCCTCCTAGGGTGAGCAGTCTGGCTGGCTGGCCCCAGGTGAAGGATACACACTTGCAGTCACCCAGCATCAGCAGCTTGCTGAAATCGAGACAAAACTCCAAGAACTTTCTGCAGCCTCCCCAGCAACAACCAGCTTTTCTCCAAGACTTGAACATCAGAACGAGCAGGTATATCAAACTCAAGACTGTTCAGGTTTGTGTGTGCTAAAGCTAGTCCACAGTTGACAGTCTGCTTGTTAACTAAACAGGTTTCTTCCCAATTGCTTTTTATTCCATGACTACAACTGCAGCGATAGTAATTTTTTTCTCTGAAAAAAAAAAAAAAAAGGCATGCATTTAATTTGAAAATAGATTTGGTATGGAGATTGAGTAAGGAGTGTGATAGCTATTTTGGGAGACCGCCCAGCACATTTCCCATTCAGTCTCATTTTCCTAGCATCCTATAGTTACTCCCGTCCCCATTCTTAGGGAGTGGGGGACGTGCCATCCAAGCATGACCAACTATTGTGAATAGTTTTCCTAACTGGTAGTAATTTCTATAACTGTGTGTTTTTATTTGGTGACTTCTCTGTTCATTTTTAAAATTTCAGTTGGTAATTTGCTGGGATGGAGTCACTGAGGAAATTTTATTTTAATATTATTATTTCCTTATGGTTTGGCTGATTCTTGATTGTGATCAGGACAGAGGAGAAGGAAGAAAATTGATATAGCACTCAGCCCTTTGAGAGCCATATTTCTCTTTATTCCTCTAGTTCTAGATGTTAACACTGGCAGCCACTTCTTCCTTATCCTGACACATTCCTGGAGCTTTTAATTTAACAGCAAGCAGTGATGCTCACTAAGTTGATGACTACTCTCCTGTGAAGGTTTTCTTAAAACATTTTTTTCCCTTTATTGATTTTAGAGAGAGAGGAAGTGAGAGGGAGAGAGAGATCGAAACGTCGATGAGAGAGACCATTGATTGGCTGCCTCCTGCATGTCCCCCACTGAAGATCAGGCCCACAACTTGGACATGTGTCCTGACGGGGAATCGAACCAGCGACCTATTAGTGCATGGGTCGATGCTCAACCACTGAGCCACACTTCTATGAGGGTTTTGAAATAAATGTGTTTCCTCTCTCCAGAGTTCCCTCAAGTATTCTTTTACAAAGCTAGAAGAATATGTAGGAAGACAGAAGAATAATAGCAGCTTTGGAAAAGTAAAATTTTTTTTCTTCCCACTATATTTCAGTACTTCATGGGATCTAGTTTGGGGGTTGGGTAGTAGTTTTCACCTGAAGAGAAAGTGGCTGGTCTTCTGTTGTTTTTACTTACTGTAACTCTGCCAGTTTTGTAAAAACTTTGCCAAATCATTTCCTGCACAATCTTAGATGCATGTGATTTTCATGGCTCTTAAAAAGATTTAAATATTAGCCATGTCCGTTTTGGCTCAATGGTTAGAGTGTTGGCCTGCAGACCAAAGAGTCTTGGGTTTGATTCCAGTCAAGGGCATATACCTCGGTTGTAGTTCGGTCCCCGGCCCTGGTCGGGGTAATGAGGGAGGCAACCAGTCTATGTGTTTCTCTCATATCAATGTTTCAGTCTCTCGCTCTCCCTTCTATTTTATTTGAAGATAAATGGAAAAAAAATATCCTCGGTTGAGGATTAAAAAAAAAAAAGATTTAACTATCAGTAGTCTGTAGATAATATTTCTGCTCCATAGTGAATCTTTTCTCCAAGCTATCAATTGAAGATTAGGGATTTGGCTTCAGGCCGGTTGAAACCACCTCAGGGGAAAGAGCAGTGTTAAAATGTTCCAAAAAAGTTTGGTCTCTGGCAAACCTTTATGGAGCCAACTCAGCTTCCTTAGATTTTGTGTCTAAGGGCCAGGCACAGCTGCTTCTGAGCCCTTTACACAGCCATCATGGTCATAGTGGAAACCACTGATTTCTGCATTGGGATCAGAGTTCTTGGAAAACAACATTGGAATCTCTGTCTCCACCCAAATGTACTCCTGAACATTGACACTAATTGCATTGCTAGTTTATTTATGTTGCTGGGTACCATTTCAAAAGGAGGAATCCAAGATGAGAGAATAAAATTGGGGTATTCGTTATTCTTTTTGTGTTACTGCTGATTTTTGTTGTTGTTGTTGTTAGATTTCATGGGCAGCTGAGATCTCAAGGCTGAATATTGGTCCTAAAGATAGAAAATGTCTTTTTCATGGCTGTCAAATGTTATTCTTGAAAGAGAAAATGAGAATTTAGAGATTTGTTGGCCATTAGGACTTTAAATAAAGCATGACTATGGTCAGATTCTGTCATTGTCATCTAAATCACATTTTCAGAGTTCACATTTATGGTTCTGATAAAATATTTAAAAATAGAAGGCAAACTAGTACATTGCTTAGTTGTTATATACTGAGATTATATATTTTAATGTGAAACAACATTAATTAGAGGGAAAAGAGAAAACTGCATTTTGGGACTCCCATTGGATGGAGAAACAGAAAGAAATATAACATCCTAGTTGTTGAAAAGAAATAATGAATGCTTCTTGCATGCAAGATAAAGAATATCTTTTGAGCTCTCGTTCAATTTCCTCTTGGCATTTCTTTGTTGCTAACTGAAACCAGCATTGCACATTGACTTTTCAAGCCAGAAATGCTAACGTGGCAAATTATTTTATGGATATTATTTTTGGATTGAAATTCTTTTTGAATAAATACACTGAAAAACATCTTGGATAAACCTGGTGTATCTATTCAGTTGATGAATGGGCTCCAATCTATTGCTGAACCACACGTATTCATAGTGAATATTCACATCATTTTTATTTTTCAACTCTTCTGCAAACCATTAACTCGCCAGTAATTTTTTTCTCCATGCTCCTTAAGAATGTCTTTTAAGTGAAATATAAGCTTCTGTTTTTGAACAATTGACCCAATACATATTAATCAAGTGCTCACTGTGTGCAAGAAACTGTAGGCCCTTAAGGATAAGTCAAGCAAATGTAGACCTGTGGATGGGGTTTAAAGCCTCTCTCCAAGTTCCGGCTCTTCCACTTCCTAGTTCTGAGGACTTGGGAATTAATTGGAAACACTCCTAACTCCAGTTTCCTCATCTAGAAAATAGTAATAATAATGCTATTCTTTAGTGTTCTTTTAAAGCGTAGATGAGTTAATATAGATAGCAGTGTCTGACACAGAATTCAACCAATGATATAATAATAATAATAATAATAATAATAATGATAGTGACTTAAGGAATTTAGTTTTTTTTTTTTTTTATCCTCACCCGAGGACATTTTTCCATTTTTTGTTCAGGTAGAGTGGGAGGGAGAGAGAGGAATAGAGAGAGAGAGAAACATCTACGTGAAAGGAACAAATCTAGTGGCTGCCACCCGCACAACCGACCAGGGCCGGGGACAAACTGCAACCGAGGTACGCGCCCCTAGCGGGAACCGAACCCGGGTCTCTCAGGACCGCAGGCCGACGCTCTAACCGCTGAGCCAAACCGGCCAGGGCAAGGAATTTAGTTTTTTATGGGAGGCACAGATTATACGGACAGTAGAAGGCTATAAGCAAAGTACTGTAGTGGTTCAGGGGAGAGAGAGAAAGCTCATCCAGAAGGAATATCAAGCAAGTCTTTCTGTAAGTGAGGGACAGACGGAGTAAGAGGAACTGGAGAATGAGGCAGAAGGGGTCGGAAGCCCAGGTGAAGGCTGCCATTATACAGCAGGAGGCTGAGAACTGGTTGCCTGCAGGGCAGATTTGGCTCACAGATGGGTTTCCTTTAGCCCACATAGGGTTTACAATTTTGTTTTCCAGCCAACATTTAAAAATTGGGTGACCTCATATAAAAATTCAAATTCCTAGTTTCTCTTGAAAAATGAGAAAACCTGGCAACATTAGGCCTGAATCCCTGCTTGGCCCACTACTGGACTGAGCTGAGTAGCAGCTGCTGCTTTATGTGGAGTACAGATTCGCTACTTTGCTTCAGGACCCAGCATTCCGCGGTGAATTGCAGGCCTGAGGCCGGAGGCGTGCGTCTGTTACTTGTCCAGCCCCTGAGCAGGGTGTCAACATATCTTTGAATGCCAGCTTCTTTCAGAGATGCTGCGGTCGTTGATGTTAAGTATTTAAATTAGTAGGTGGTTTCATCTCTGACCTTAGCGCAGCTTAAAGGTTACTGGAGGACAGGGCGTAAACAGAACAAGTTGTAGAATGATCATAATGAAACAAACAGCGTAATATGAGGACTGAGAAAATGTATATTGGGGAAGCACATAGAAAGAAAAGGCTCTTTGATGAAGGCGTGATATTTAAATGATTCCTTTGGAGATTTAAAAAATTTTAGTCCAAAAAACAGTTTCCAAACAAGTTGAAACATGCAGACTTTCTGACTAACCTGACTATGGCAACTTGTAAGGTGCCTAGTTGTTAGGCACGGAAACCTAGGATGATAAGGTACCGGAGTCAAAATAATTTGAGAGACTCCAAAAATGTGATTCCGAGATTAAGAAAGTGTTGGTTGTTGTGAAAGGGGCAGAGAGAAAACCTTCATTTCCTTATGAGCTTGCTGATTATGATGTTCTCATACAGAGGCCCTGGCCTGGCTCCTAACTTTATGGTAATATTTTAAAAGCAGCCTTTGGCTTTTCCATGTCTGATTTCCTTGGTGTAAAACAAAGTGTGCGGTCACCTTCAGAAGAACGAATGGCATGTTACTGCTGTTGTTGTGATGTGAATAATGTCATGTGGCTGCAGTTTTTACATCTGCTTTTTATTTGCATTTCATTTTAGCAAAAGAGAGCTAATTGAAGCAACTTTTTTAAAGTTCTGTGGTTTAACTGTGCATACTTTTCTGTATTCATCTCCTAATTCTCCAACAAATCAGTTAGTTCTTTCCACGGAGAGTAAATCCCACCATAAAATTGAGTGAGGTTCCACAATTCAGTACTGCATTTCTTATTTGTAGCTGTATTCGATTCTAACGTTCTCCAGAAATAGCTAAGATACAGGAGTTAAGTAAGCATTTAGATTTTTAAATCCTTGGCAACTGGATTCAATAATAGATTTGTTCAGTTTGGCTCTTGTACAGAAATGCAATTTATTTACTTTCATGCAATCAGTCTCACTAAATCTGGAATTTCAGTTCGTGGTAAGATTTTTTTTTCTGGTTGGGAGA